GACCGATTCATAACTTATATGGACTGGAAGTGTGAGAGAGTGGAAAACAAGGGCTTGTGGACCCAACAACACGAAACCAAGGTCATACTCAGTAAGGTCAAGGTCGTTGTGCAAATTTCCTTTGACCAAGGACTWGAAAACAATACAAATTGCATGTAAATGAGATTTTTTTCAAAACCTTGGACTTAATAACGCAATCAAGCAAGCAAGGWCTGACCACGGTCAATGAACGAGTTGGTTGGTCACCTCATCGTGTTGTGAAATCAATAGACTCCGGGCAACGCAATCGGATTCATCATTGTTCCGAGAGACAGTCGATGCTACAAGGTACTCAGTGACTTCTGCATGCCTCGCTACAAGGTGACATCAGGTGTTAACGTGGGAGGTATCTAAACTAAATTTGAAAACTAAACTTGACAGTGAATTATCAGCCTCCTAGGGAAAAGAACACTCAAAGATGATATTAGGACAGTGTTGATTCATAGTTAGACCAAAACAAAATGATTACCTTGGATTCAGTGCAAAAACTTTTACTGTTCCTTTCATCTGTTTCTACAACGACCTTTATCATTTCCATTTTCACTTTGTTAGCTATCGCGTTATTCTTCAAACGTAGAAAACAGCAAAAGAGCCTCAATATACCAGGCCCCTGCAATCTTCCTTTCATTGGATGCATGTTTTTGTTTCGGTGGTCCAAGTCTCCTCACAAGACTCTAGCCAATCTTGCTTGGATCTATGGAAACGTGTATTGCCTGAATTTAGGAGAAACCAAGGTTGTAGTGGTCAATTCTTCTGATGCTGTTAAGGAAGCGCTTTATCAGAGRGGAAGTGACTTTTCAGGGCGACCTGCACTGTTTTCATTTGGTCTTTGGGCAACGGGAGAGAAATCCTTCATGTTCAAAGACTACAGTCTAGACTTCTCAAACTTAAAATACAAAGCTGAAATATCGATGCAGGAAATTTCGAACGACGAAGAATTCTTAACCACGAGGAGTTCAAAAGCCGTGGGGTCATTAAACAACAGTTTTGAATATTTTGCTCAGCAGAACAGCATTTTTGACCCAGAAAAGAGCATCAAACATGTTATTGCAGATTTCGTAATGGATACCGTATTCGGGCCGGATATTTCTCGCTGGTTTTATCACGAGGCTCGCTTGGTTTTGGATGAAGTTTCTTGTGCTTTTGCGAAGGCAGCACACGTTGGAGCCTGTGTGGATTTCGTTCCTTGGATGCGCTACGTAACGAGGAAGACACTGACAAAGACGCGCTCCCAAGTTGGCCAACTGCGTGCGTTTGTGCGCAAAATATACCGTCTTCATCAGCAATCTYTATTGCAAGAACGCAACAAAAAGATCAGTCTTGCTTATTGTCTGCGTTCTGCCGACAAAGGACATCGTACAGCACCCACTTCTTTTGAAAGCAACGCAAACTCGGTTATAGATGATGACACAATTGTGTTTCTCTTGACTGATGTTATGTTCTGCGCGTACGAGAAGCTGTCAACATCTTTTCGCTGGTGTGTCGCGCGTATAGCAGCCAGTAGGCGCTTACAGCGTGATATTCAAGACAAGATAGACGAAGATTTCAATAATGAAAGTGAAATTAGGACTAATAGAAGACTGTCATTGCTTAGTGCAGCTGTAGATGAAACACTCAGAACAGCTTGTATCATGCCYTTTGGAATCCCGCGCAAAACTACAAGAGATACAACTCTAGAGGGATACTTCATCCCAAAGGATACTGTAATACTTTTTAATTTGTGGAGTTGCTGTCATGACTCAAAGCGCTTTTCGAATCCCCTAAAATTTGATCCATATCGTTATAAAAATGATACACACAACAACGTAAAACTCTCTTCACATTGTGCCTTTTCTGGTGGGGAGCGCAAATGCTTAGGAGATCATTTTTCGAGAAGGTTCTTAGTTGCTTTGATGGCTGGTGTTTTACGGAAGTTTGAACTAGAGTTAGTGACTCCAGGCCCTGACAAGAGCCTAGAAGGCACATATGCATTGACTTTACGACCTAAAAACTATACCATTTSCGTTAGGAAAAGAAGACAAAAGAATGGGAATATAGAGAATATATGAGAGAAGATAATGTCGGTCATAGTATGATTATTAGTGAAGGTTGCATGTTCGTGTAGTCTTGTCTTGATCCAAAAACTCTTAATCAAATAAATGTTTTAGAATAAACATTATTATCCACTGTGTTTGACCACTCATTCGAGAAGTTCGATTGATGTAGGAGCTTGACCTTGGGCATTAAATAACGTAGTGACTTTATGAATTTTTTTTTGTACGTCAGTCAAAGATTTTACTACWAAATAGGAAATATTATTTCCACATCTTTGAATTATGACAATTTAATTTGTCTTCACAAAATTTAAATTATAGTCTTGACAAAATTACTTCGTGGAATCCAACTTAATTTAAAGCTGGGAACCTGAAGACAAAGAAATAACCTTWTGAGTCATATAAGTCAGTAACTTTAGAAATGCTTGTCGTTCAAAATTAAGTTGAGTTAATAAAATTAAATTGAGTAAAATGTTAAGGTGTCGAAAGGTCATCAAAATGACTCAAAAATGAGTCTTTTTTTACGGCTAAAATTTAGGATCAAAATTAATTACTGGGTTGCCTGTGGCCGCGAGCCCAGTCTAAAAATGAGTTGCGTGTCACGGCTCCGTATTTTCCTGCGTACCTTTGCGGAATATGATACGGAGATCTTGTGAAAAGTTTGTATGTAGTGTTTAAAATCTAACACMGGGATCCCAACGGAGAATATATGGGGTAGCTTGCGGACCTTGTTTTAAGTCATTTTTATTTGTAGATTCTCATTCCTCTTCACTGATTCTCAGATTTAATAATGCTAGCTCTATGAACGATTATAGAAAGCCCAAAAAGGTTTGTTCGTGTTTAAGTTTGGTTTCTGTTATCGTATGGATTGGGCTGGAATTTTAAAAATGTAACTGACGGCGATTTAGTATTTTGAAATTCTTGACCGGCTGCTGGTCATTTAAACACTCCTTCATTTATTTTTTTCAGGGATTTTTTTTCTGCTAGATCTCAATTTGGACGGATTCGGGTAGACAGAAATGGGTTACAYAAAGATAGAAAAGTTTCACTATTTTACATTCTATCATTAAAAAAAAGGAGCAAAAGCGCGATTAGGTATAATATTTAGGTCACCCATCCAGGTGCTAACCCTCCTCAGACGA